CCAGGTGGTCGGCTCCGCCCCGCCGTCCCTATATGGCAGGATCTGCTAGGGTCTAGACGCTCCAAGACCTGGGCCAAACGATGAGGGCCTGTGCCAAGGACTTTTATTTTAACTGTTAAATCCTATTTAGATTAAAATTTTCTTCTTTCACCATCATCTCTGGAGTCTTTCTGGTAGAAGTGGTTTTACAAGAGAAGGTGTTGTATATGGTTCTATGGATGGTTTTATATAGCACCAAAAAATGTTTCAGAACCAAAACTCACCACTTTTCAGTGGCTTCTAAACTAGACTTTTCAGTTCCCACATCCAGACAGTTCATTTCCCACATGCAAGCTTTCCAGTTTATTAGTCTATTTCTTGTATTGCTGCTCGTCCTTCTCGCTCTCTTTTCCCTCTCCACTCTTTTTAAAGGTGACCACGCTGCTGAAGCTTAGCCAGGATCAGCTGGTTCTCATTACCTTGTTGCGCAGAGAGCTACAGCTTACTGCTCTGCCTCCCCATCACCACCCCTGCTCTGCAGCTCAGCCACCAGGACTGAATATCAGGTATTGTCTAGTGGCCTTGCTGAAGCAGAGGAGGCAGGGTCAGGGGGGCAGATTTTTAGTTTCATAAGTACTTGGTTTTAATCTACTCAATATGTACATTTTCCAGAGAGTATTGTGTGATGTGTTAAAGATTGTTTGTACAGGGTAGGTGGAGTTGTAGGGTTGAACTCTGCCTTAATGGTGTCCTCCGAAGCACTAGGTGGTGCTTGTGAGCTAGCACTGCCTTGATGATGCCCTACAAAGCACTAGAGGGGTGCTGTTGAGCTAAATGCCCATTTGACACTGGACAGCGCTGTGGAGCTCAGCGCTGACTCTGTGGTGCCTTCTGGCAGCACTGGTGCAGTGTCCTCAATACAGGCCTACTTGCCTCTGATGTCCTCAGAGTCAGTCGGGCTTGCATTGACATCCTCAGTGGCAAGCAAGCCTGCATCAATGTCCTCAGGGGCAGACAGGCCTGCTTTGGCCTCAGGGGTATGTGGGTGTGTAGGCCTCTTTGATGTCCTTAGGGGTAGGCAGAGCTTTTGGGACAGCTGGATGAGCGGAGGCCTCAGGTCAGGCTGCATAGGGAGCTGGCAGAGCTGGAGACTGGTAGGCACCTTCTGGCTCAACATAAAGCATTTGACCAAACTTGGGCTGAGCACAACCTGGTGCTAATATTGGAGTTTGGCCTTTTCTGTTACTTTCGCTATGGTTATGTAAAAGCTTAGGGTCTATAATTGTGGAATTGTATGCCAAACATATTTTTAAATATTTTGGGTAACATAAATCAAATTGTCTTATACTGTACCAATAATAATCTACAGAATAATCTGTATCACAATGACAAACAGTTGCCTTGGCAGGATTAATTAAGTCATGCTAAACCTTGTGCCAAAACAGGTTTAAATCCTCACATTTCATACTTGGAGAACCTTTCATGGTATCTGAGGTTATCCTCAGACAGTGGCCTGCTTGATTGGTCATTTGTGTTAAGCGTGGTCCTTTCTAATATTTGAGAAATGTTTAAATTTCACTGTTCCTTTTCAATAAGTTAACACACTTTGCACTTGTTTCTTACATCTATTATTTTTGGATGCTCATGATAGCTCTTGAAATAGATGTTGATAAGACGCTAGTCACATGAGATGTTCTATGAGTCCGTGTTTTCAGCGGTTGTGGTTAACACCTAGAGCAGACAGGATGTTGAGAGAACGATCTCAGATCTTGACTTGTGGTTGAGCTTGAAGCCTTTAAAATGCATGAAAAAAAGAGGTTGTGAACTACTACTTCTGTTTGTCATGTCCACTCTCTCCTCTGAAGAAGACAGTCACCTGCTATACCCCACCCCCACCACACGTCCATTTGGTCAGTATGGGTGTGTGTGTACTCTGAAATGATGCACCACAAAAAGAAGAAACAGCAAGTGATGTCATCATTCAGAGAATATAGACAGGCTTTGTGGGTTTGCAATTCTTATAAAGGGTCTTACGGAAACATTACCAGGCTAAAATGAGACTTCCGCCCAAGACGATTCTCACACAGATCCTGTGAGCTGCACGGACATTAGAGTGGGTTAGACTCCAGTGAAGAGCTGCTGAGAGAGCTGTGTACTCAGTGTGGTATACAGGGCTAGTGTAGTGCTGGGTGTGGAGCTGTCAGTGTGCTGTTGTTTTACTAGTGAGGATGTTGCTGACTTTTTATCTTCTCTTCACTGGGCTTCATGTCTCTGAAGGTGAGTGTGACATTTGCTTGCATCAGACATTTGTAAGGCCCTACCAGTATTTGTTGTGACAGCTCATCCATTACATGGAGTTACATAGAGTTTACATAGAGTAATGTTTGATTTTGTTTGGACCTCACTATTTTGTTAGTCAATCAACTTTTGCAAAGTGGAGAAGAAGCTGAGTTGATATCTAAGTACAGACTAAATAATTAGCACACATTGCACATTGTTTCAGGATATTGGTTTCCTTGGGCTTTTCGTGAGTTGGAGGTTATCATGAACTGAGTTCTTTATGCGCTAAACTAGCTAGCGGCTCCAAAGCTAATCATGCAGTGAGAGACACAGGCATTTGTGGCTACAAATTAAGGCCTGATTACAACACATGATAGTGTTCATCATGGGATCCTCTCTCGGTGGGAAGGCCGGTGCAGGCTCATGCGTCTGTTAGCGTTAGCGGCAGTTTGAAAACATGCAGTGGTGCTTCACAGGGCTCGGAGGAAGGCTGTGCTAGTTTTCACCTTCCTAGCATTGATGGTATCATGTGATTGGAGGACTCCTAACTAGTGGGTGGAATTGGACAGCTTGTTTGGGGCTGGCATCTGAATATTCAGGGCTTAAGGCCTGAAGGTCCAGCCCTAACAACACTCATAGTAAACACGGCTATAAAATGTAATTCATTTTTATAAATATTTATAGCCATGTTTATAATGTCTATCAATGCATTCTAACATGTCATGCTTGTGTTTATAGATGTTCATAGACATGGTTTTCATAGAAAGTGTTACCAAAAAGTCACTGTGGTAGTTCACATCCCTTTACGGCAGCTTTGATTTACGGTTCTTTCGGTGGCACAAAAATTCCCTTTTACAATGCAGTGACAAAATAGAAGCCATATTGCCCCATGTGTACACTGTATTGAAATCTGCCACAAGTAATCCATGTGAACACTACATGGTGACAATGCTGCATCGCCATGAAAAGATCACTGTTGACATTTTTTTTAGAATGGATGTAGTTGATTAATTATGTCAACCCTAGTATTGACCTTGCTAACTGAGTATGTTGGCTACTTCATGAGCTCCAATGAAACATGCCAACTTCTTATTACTGTGCTGAGTAAATGAATTCCTTGCCAGGTACTTTTTTCTTTAAGCTGAACTGGTTTGCTTTGGATGAATTAAAACTAAAAAAAAGTTATGTCTTTAGTCGTTTGGGTGTAGTTGTTTGCATCAGAGAAACAACAATGGTATGTCTAGCTGCCCTGTTTAAGCAAATTAATCTGGGGAATCTGCTTTGTGACTTTACTACAGTGTTTGGGAAGTGGATCCTGCTTGTAATTAGCCCTTAGGATAGTTAACAAAAAGTTCATTTGGTGGGACAGCTACGTATTGCTATTAGAATAAGTTCAGTTTTTACATTGACAAAATATTTCACTCAAAAACATATTGTTTGCTTCAAAGAAACCGCATTGTTCATCATAAGCTTTTACTATAGTTCAAGAAATGTAATTACAATGTCAATTACAAAGGCTATGTTTTTAAACTGGACCTTATTTTACTGATGTGTGTTTTTGCAGGTTGCACACTGGAAAACAGTGAAAAACCAGTGTATATTATGACATATAGAGGAGGGTCAGTCCTGCTGCCCTGCTACTGCACTGACCTCACACCTCTAAGATTCACCTGGGAGAAATACAACAGAATCCAAAACATTTGGGAAGTGATATCCAGTGAGAGTGGTCAGTACAGAAAAGAGCTCAGCTGGTTAATGGTCACTCTCCAGGAAATCTCTCTCTACTCATATCACACCTGACTGAAGAGGATGAGGGAGATTACAGGTGTGAAGCTACTGAGAATATATATAAATACTTCAGACTTATTGTTGAAGGTAAAGTATTATTTGAATGCTGATTTCGAATACAATGCAGATGTCATGAATAAAACCAGTTCATACAATTTGGGATAGAAATGTCAAAACATTATAACCAGTAAAAAATAACACCTCTACAATGGTGGTAACTTCTGATGGCATCTCTATGGCATTTTAATTGTTAGCTTAGCGGTAACAAACAATGATTCACATGAACATTTGTTGGACATTCTAGATTAAACACAGACATTTGAAGCGTCTAAAAGCCTGAAGTTTGTGACAGGCATTGGCACATGTTTTACCCTGTATCAGTGTCAAAGGGAAGATGTATGTAGATTAAACACAATTGGTTGGTTCCTCTATCACTTTTGTGATTATGCTGATATTTTATCTAAGATGTTTGGCCTTATCTTCAGTTCTTGAAGTTCTAACCAACAGTAGAACTCACTTATCTATATCTACCAAAATATCATGGAGGAAAAAAGAAATCCTGATTGTCCCATTTTCCACTGGACATTTGAAGAATTTAACCTTTTGGTTTAGTTTGAAAGTGTCACAGTGAAGCAAGTAGTGTTGTAATACAGTAATACAGCAGGGTTTAACCCCTTAAAGTCACAGCCTTATTTCATTCTAAGGCTTATTATTCAGTAATGACAGGAACTTCACAGCAACCTGGCTGAGGTTGTAGAAGTGTGTGATAACACGTTTGGCCTGCTGGTGGGCCCTGGCCATTTAAGGGTTAAATACAAGCATGAACTCAATGTTATTAAATAAAAATGAACTAAAACATTTCCCAAAAATTATTAGGACTTATCTGAAGGGCCTGAGTTGTGTGAGGATAGATGTTTGAGTGTGTTTGGAAGTGTTGTAGTGTTGTAGTGGGAATGCCGAGGTAAGGGTAAAATATTCTGGTGAGACCTTTTTAAGGAGCACATATTGGGGGTCATTACAGTCTTGTTCTTTGCTCGAAGTGCACATGCATTAGATTGCATACATTATATAATTTTATCATTATTCCAGTCAAATTGTGCATTTTCATGAAGAGAATTTGATTAAATGATTTACTCGTTAAAAAAAAAAAATGTGTTCCTTCAGAAAAAGGCGGATTGTGATTATATTACTGATATGTGTTTCTGCAGACTGTATTCTGGAGAACAAAAGAAAAACATTATATATGACTGCACATACTGGAGGGTCAGTACTGCTGCCCTGCTACTGCACTGACCTACACACTATTCCTCCAAGATTCACCTGGAAGAAATACAACACAGACACATGGGAAGACATATCCAGTGAGAGTGGTCAGTACAGAGACAGAGTTCAGCTGGTTAATGGTCACTCTCCAAGAAATCTCTCTCTACTCCTATCACACCTGACTGAAGAGGATGGAGGACTGTATATGTGCAAAGTTAAAGGGGGTGGATACTTAGACATCACACTCACTCTTGAAGGTAAAACACTGCTTGGATCTGTAATCATACTGCCATCTAAATTCAACCTGAACATGGTTTTGTTAGACAGTCATTAATAAATGTCTCTGCTCGCCGTCTGTGGTGTCTGTGCATTGAATACTCAATAAATTTATACTTTCTGAACAATATGATTGTACTGTTGCTTGAAAATACATGGTTGTCATGTTACTCTCTGTTTTTGCATTGAGCCATTTGCTTTTGTTCTCTTGCTGCACTGACTGTCAAACTCTTCTCTCTCTACAGAGGGTCCACCTAAACCTACAACACCTACTGCAGTGGTCAATGTACACACCAGACCAACCACTTCATCCATACATTCCTCTCAAACGTCTGATGTTAAACACAGAACGCTGACTGTTGATGAAAGTAAGATTAACTGGGTCAATGTCAAAGTTTGTTTACATTTTAAAAGTGACCTAGAATTTGTTCAGTATCTTAAATATTTGTTCTTCATTTCACTTGTCATAGTTTTTTAAATCTTTTCTAAAACCTTCTGTTGTTTATTTCAAATTTTAAATGAAAAAAAAAAAATCCACATTTTTAATGTGGTCTCAAACTTTTGGACCTGTAACTACTATATTACTTTTAACTATATTACTTTTTACTTGTAACAGGTCTCCTGATTGCCATTTGCACATAATGACAATTTGAATTCTGTTCTGAAGAACAAATCATAAACTGCATTCATTTGGAGGTGTAAATGTAAATACATGAATATTATCTAAAAGCCTGAGACAATGTAATAGGATAATATGAATAATATGATCCACTTCTTGTTGCAGAATCTCCACAGTCTCTGCCCTCCGTCCCCTTTGCCTTGGTGACTGTGATCTTCCTCCACATTATAGTAGCTGTGGTTTATCACACCAAGAGAAACAAAGGTACAAACTACACAATCAAGCTCCTGTAAACATTCACATGTTCGATGTTGTTTGAATTTATTGTCTATTTTGCTGTCATCTGTCAGATCCTGCCAGACTTCACTACAGCACTGCTGATGGAGATGGAGTGGTCAGTCTGCAGTAGTTCAGGTCTGCAACATTGGCATGCATTCCCCATTTAGCAACAAATAAAAACATCTCAGCCAGCAACTTTCCCACATGCTGTTATGTTGAAATAACTGAGAATTACAGCCAGACACTGTTCATGGAGACCAACAATACCATGAAAACCATATATAGGCTTATTTACTTCTGTTACACCCTTTTTATATCAACGACTAAAACAGCTAAATATTTACTTGATTTTATTTTGCTCTACATTTTAAGATCTGATGTAGTTCTTCCTATTTTAGCAGCCTGCTACTGCCTGGCTGATGAGCTTGGGAGGCATGTTGTTTAAATATTATTGTTTTTTAGTTTGTGTTGTGTATATGTGTGTATTGTGTGCCAGTGTGTTCAACAAAGAGCAATTCTTATAGCAGAAGCATGTCGACCCCTGTGTCTTACTTTCTGCTGACATCACACTGATGTCAGAAGTGAGAGAGCACCCTCAGTGATCAGGGGAGAAACAGCGCTTCAAGAACCTTCTAGACGAATGGTGAGAGGAAAAAGCCTGCCAAAAGACTGTGAAGATGGAAACAGCATGGGAAAAAATCGCCTAGTGAGGCTTGTCGGCAGGGCTGGAGGCCAGAGTCAGTGCAAAAAGGCCTGATGGCAAGGCTAAGTGTGTTGTGGATAACAGATGGCTCATCACATTCATCTTCATGGGCTGTGACAAGCGTGCTCATGCACTGAGCGGGGCACATCACACAGCTGGAAAGTGGCCATCATCCAGCTCAGGTCAGTCACCAGCGGTGGAGGCAGGGCACCAGTGTGCATGAGTGGCATTCAGGACAGCGTCGCTGGTGCAGTGGAGGGGCAGTGAGAGTGGAAGGGCTGGGTCGAGTTCCACAGTTGCTGCCGCCACCCCCAGGTGCATGGGACTTGACACAGCACGCTGTCTATGGCTCTACCCTTCACCAGAGAATCTTAGGGGAGGACTGTGGGCACTTCCTTGTAAAGCTGCTTTCCTTGTAAAGCGGCTTTGTGACAACACCTGTTGTAAAAAGCGCTATATAAATAAACTTCACTTACTTACTTACTACTTACTCACCGTTGAGGAACGATTGCCCTGCGGTGTTTGTCTTGGCTGGTATTGTGCACATGCCCAAGAACTTGGCTCGAGGTGTTAGGTCCAAAGTTCAGTCTTAGAAGTTAGTTGCATTTTCTGCTATGCATGGTCAAAAGTTTCCAGGGCAACATCAGGGCCTCTCTCCTCCAAACAACCCCCAACCCCCCCGGCCCAGGTTCATTGCAAACGCTGTCACATGGTCAGTGTGGGTGTGTGTACTGTGAAATGCTGCACCACAAAACAGGAAACAGCAAGTGTTCTCATGACTCAGAAGACACTCCCTCACTTTGTGGTTTTCTAAGTGTCACAAAGCTCCAATTTCCCCCGCTATTTAGGACCCCCCCAGTCACACAATACCACCAGCGCTAGGAGGGCGAAGACACAGGCTTCCCCCGAGACCTGTGAAGTGCCACTGCATGTTTTTGAACAGCCACTCATGATGTCATTGGACAGCCAAACGCGCTCTGAGGAAAGTGCCCACCACCAGATCTGTTATGTCAGCTAACAGACACTTGCTCTGACTAGCATTGTGCTGAATGATGGGGGGAGATGAGGGCCTTGGATGGCTGTAGCATCACTTGCAATCTCCTGATGATAGGGCTAACACAGGAGCCCTACATTTACTTTTTTAATTTTTTTCAATTTAGTTATGTTATGGAGGCAGGCAAATGTAGATCTTTCCTGATTTAAGTCTTGAGTTTCTGAAGTGAAGGTCTTGGGTCTGTAAGGTGCAAGTTAGAGCCAAGTCTTGATTCTTTGAGGTGTGACTCCAAGTCTTGAGTCCCTGAGGTATAAATCGTAGGCAAGTCTCTGAGGTGTGGTTCTGCATCGTCTCAGACTTAAGTTTGTGAGGCACGACTCTAGGTAAGTCTGAAGTACAATTCTAGGTCAGATCTTGAGTCATTAAGTTTAGTTAAGTTTAAATCCGTATTAGCAATTATGTTAAAACTGTTATAGTATTTATACAGAATGCACTGCAACGCACACTGGACAGGGACAGGGTACCTTCAGTCATAGCTTTCTGTCTGGGATGGTCTGGCTCTATGCTTGTACAACTGACATGGACAAAAAAGTCAGACTTTCTCTGTTACTTATAATTTCACTTTCATAACCCATTTACATATCTTTTTGAACCAAAACAAATGGCATTTCTGTTTTTAGGAAGATTATAATTCAGTGTTCAGACAGGCACCACATGTCATGCATGGATCAAAACTATAACTTTAACGTTTGTGTTTTCTTTGCAGGATCAGGTGACGTACTCTATTGTAGTCCACAGTAACACAACCACCACACCCACAGTGACTGACTCTGGAGATAAGACTGAATATGCCACCATCAGAGTCAACTAATAACGCAGCCATCTCTCGAAAAAATTGTTACCTGTTATCTTTTATATATATGATCAAAAATAAATTAATAAATAATGCTTCAACTGAAAATTCACTGATTTCAGTACTGTCCACGTAATCTTCTTCAACACTTTCAGTTTCACAATATTAAGCTGTTCCTGTAAAATGAAAGTAATAAAATAGTAAAGTCTAAGGTCTAAAGTAGTTCAGGTTATGACTATGAGAGAGTGATGCAGAAAGCCTGGATCCCACGCTAAAATCTTGTATGGTTATTCTAAACCACTAAGCAAGTAGACTTTTCATCCTCCTAAGTTCTACTGGCTTTACTGAAACTTATTTAATGATGCCACCAAAGAAAAGAGCACGCAGTAAAAGAGAAATATGACCTGAAGAAAGTATGCCAGTATTGGTAGCATCCCCAGACTTGTCACTTACATGGTTTCATGCAGAGATGGAAAGAGGTTTCATGAAAATTCAAGACATGATTGATGGTCACCTGAAAGAAATAAAAGGGTCAGTACAGAAAGTTCTGACCAACTGCCAAGAACTGGATGAGTTTGAAAAATGGCAGGGTGGTTATAAGAATGCTAGCCTCAGTGTAACTCTTACCCTTCCAGAAAAGTAGAACATAAAGAAAACAATTACTTTTTAGCTTTATTCAACACAAAATGATCATGTTTTTATTCTTGCAGCCAGAGAAAGGCTAGGTGTAAAATAATTAGATTGCCAAGTAGCTACCTCGCAAACTTTTTTAGCATATTGTTTTAGCATATTGTCCTCCTCATCTGGTGAGTCATTTCTGTTGCTTGAGTAATTCATTCTCTCTATTGTAAAAATGATTTGTAAAAATGATTTGAAGACAGCTATTACAGTTACATGGTTCTGCATTTAACAGCTAGAAAAAAAACAAATATAAAGAATAATATTGTTACAAAGAACAAATATTAAGTCACAAAATCACTTACACTCATACACTCATTCAAAAATATTAAGAATGATATATTCTGAAATTAGGTGAGCTGAGCTGCTACACACTTTTCATTCTCTTGCAACATATCAGCACAGCACTTCTGGGTAATTGCAACATATAGAAACAGGCTGTTTCAAGTTTTCAAAAAGTGTGGTTTGTGGTCTGTGACTGTCCTCATTTCAGTTCATGTTAAAAAAAAGGAACAGATTAGTGTCAAGCTGAAGGGCTGCTGGAGTTTGATCAGGGACAAGGGATGTTCATACCAATTAAAAATGTATTTTCCAACATGCTCATATATTCTAGCTCCAGTCATGGCTGTAACTAGCTATGCGGACACCAAGGTCTGGACCTCAGTAGTTTCAGAAGGGTTTTCTTTTATGCTTACTTCAGATTTTGATGTGGAAGCTGCACAGTACTGATCATGAAGTAACCTACTAAGGGGCAGAGCCATGGATGACATACCAAATCAAATAAGGACAGAACATTTATTAAGCTAAATGTTCTCAGATAATGAAACTGGATTTGTTTTCTCTGAGTGCTGTCACTGTATTATGGCCAATGAAAATCACTATGCTCTCCATCAAACTCCGCCTTATTTTCTTAGCCCAGCAATCATGGCTTAGCTACTGTTGCTATCCATCATTGCCTTAAGCCTTCGGTTCATTATCAGTGCCTGTCATGTGCAATTAGCACAAGGACACAGAAGTCCATAGTTTCAGAAGGGTATTCTGAGATTCTGTTTTTATTCACTATCCAAACCGACATGCGTCTTCTGAATTTTTGATGCATTGTTGATGATGGAAAAATGGTGGAAAACCTGAAAATTCCTTTGGGGACCATTTAGTCTCACATTGCCCTGCATGTAACCCTCTGCTGTGAATGGATTAAAATAAACGAATTAACAAGACATTTTAGAATGAAACTTTAACACCAAACTATCAGACAGCAATGTCTCAGGGATCAGGCTGTGTATTCATAACCATTTGATGTAATAACTTTCTGTGAGGGAGCTTTTAGAGGTGGACGTCTGGTTCCTGTCACCACCACTGTGAACAGTTCTGCACTAACCACTCTGAATGACATTCTTTACATCTTAACCATGTAATTATGTAAATAAATGAATGGAAAAATGGAGTTATTCTTTAACTGCCCTCTGTGTTTACCTCTGTATGAGATGCTAATGTTACCCTAAGTGAGATGTACAGGTACGCAGCACATGTACTTAGCTTTAGTCTAGTTCCAGTAGCTGCTCAGTTTAGACTACTGGCTCTGTGGTTGGCTATATTAGCGATTAGATGAGAAGATAAGATGTATTTTGTTACCTACTCAAACTACAATGAGCAGGAGAAAAATCACTGTTAACTAGCATATAATTAAATAAATCAGCAGGCATATTAGGCTGTATTAAACCTGATTAACTGAGTACCTTGTCCATTTTTGATAGCTGAGGCTTGGTAGAGACAGACTTTTATAATGTATTTTTTAGTCTAGATACACCACAAAACAGGAAACAGCAACAAGTGACCCCAATAGGGAGAAGAAAACCATGTCACTGTGTGTGGTTTGGCCATTCTCACAAAGCTGCTGATGAAAACATTGAAGTGTAGTGCTGGGTGTGGAGCTGTCAGTGTGCTGTGAACTCAGTGTTGTTTTACTAGTGAGAATGTTGCTGACTTTTTATCTTCTCTTCATTGGGCTTCATGTCTCTGAAGGTGAGTGTGAGATTTTTTCTGATTATTTTGTTACTGATGACAGAAAATGCATGTTTCATTTAAGTGTAAGGCAAAAAGTATCAGAGTTGCCTTTTTTATCACAATCTAAAATAATATATCCTGCATCTCCTTTGACACTCAAATTTGCACTGTTGACCAATAGCTGTACAATGGCGTGCAACCTCATCCTCACAACCTGACCCCACTGATGCTGCTGCTGCTGCATAAACAAAACTAATCAAATTAATCATTGCTCCACCTGTTTTCCCTGTTTTTGTACTATAATACTTTATACTAACAATGTTTTACTATCCGGTGTCAACCAGAGGAGGATGGGTTCCCCTTCTGAGTCTTGGTTCCTCTGAATGCACACACACACTAGGTGGCAGTGAGCACACTTGCCTGGGGAGCAGTTGGGGGTTAGGTGCCTTGCTCAAGGGCACTTCAGTCACGTACTGTCGGCTCAGCGTATTGAACCGGCGACCTTCCAGTCACAGGGCTGAAGATACACTTGTGTAATGTGTAATTAAATGAGCAAAAACTGAATACACATGTATTTACATTAACTGTACCACTGTAATCCATCTGTTACTGCGAATACATCAGCAGTGAATAGTGTTGTTGCATGCTTTACTAATGTTTAACTGCTTGATTAATAGAGATACAATATGGGACTGAAAGTGGGACTGGAAACAAAACAAAACAAAACAAAACACAAAGACTGGCAACATGCTAGCAAATATATGTAGTAAAAGACCAGAAACCTTTTGAAGTTTGAAGTTTGGCTTATTTCTTATTATTTGTATTTGCAAGATATTCTTTGTTTGATACAATTTTGCTTTTAGTTTTTGTTTTCTTTAAACTCTTGACAAAATTAAGTGTTTAATATAGCAGCATCAAACAATATCAAGCAAAGAGATTAACTGAATGTTTAACTTCATCTAGTTACACTGCACCCCACCGTGACCCAGAAGGATAAGTGGTTTAGATGATGTATGGATGTGTATGTATGTAGTTACACTGTTCCATGCCAACTCACTTTGGGCCTGGCATGCAATGTCGTGGGTTGTCATAGAAAAGCATTCAAACAAAAACTTATATTTCATTTCATTGCACAACTTTTTGATAATGGTTGCAAAACTGTACTACTTTGGACTGTGCCTTCAACATTTAGTTGTAATATGAGAAGAGACTGCAACTAACTATAGCCATTTAACATTTTGGGAAATTATAAAATGTGGCTTAACTTTTGCACAGGCCACATTTTAGGTTTAACTGTTTCACCAATATGTCGAATGCAGCGAATAAACAGTAATTGTATATTAAAATGTGAAGAAGTGTGTTCTCTGTAGAGGATGTGTTCACTCAGAAAGTCAACAAAATGTTTTTTGACCAGGGGTGCCCAACCTTTTGCATACACTGCACACTATCTGTTAGGAAATGGTGTCTGAGATCATTTCTAGAAACACTCAATGGTGATGTTGTAAAATTTATTCTTCATCAGAGAAGACAGGACACTTGTTTGGTTCCTTTACATGAGAATTTCAGCTCAGTCCATTTGGAGGTTGGCATTCTCCAAGCAATTCAGCTCAAAATATAAGATACATCGTTAAAGTTTATAAGTAAAATATTATTTGGAGCCCAGTTCTGATCTTTCCTCTACTTGAATCAATTAAATTGAACTCTTTGTCTTGATTATTTTAATAAAAAATTATGACGTAACCTGTCAAGTCTGCATAAAATAAATGTGATGTGTGTTTCTGCAGGCTGCACTCTTAAAAACAGCGGAAGAACACTGGACATCACAGCATATACAGGAGGGTCAGTTCTGCTGCCCTGCTACTGCACTGACAGCACTGCACCTGAACATTTTCTTTGGAAATACATGACCATGGGGAAAGTGCTGCTACTGCACTGACCTACATAACAAACCTAAGAGATTCACCTGGAAGAAATACAACTCAACCAGACACAAATGGGAAGAGATATCCAGTGAGAGTGATCAGTACAGAAACAGAGTTCAGCTGGTTAATGGTCACTCTCCAGGAAATCTCTCTCTACTCATATCACACCTGACTGAAGAGGATGAGGGAGTGCACAGGTGTGATGTTAATGAGAGTGGATACACAGACATCAGACTCATTGTCAAAGGTAAAACACTATTTGGACCTGCATTAAAAATACTATTCTTCTTTTTAATTATCAGTTTATTGAAGAATATGCAATGATCTTCACCACCTGCACTTAATAGCCAAATGCTGGTCAAGCAATAGGTTTGCTCCAAAAAATGCACATGTAGTGGTCCCATATATAATGTCCTTTCAAGTCTTTAATGTTGAACACCAATAGGAATAACACCAACATTCTCATTTTAAACAGCTGTGTTATTGTTGATATTGCTATGAGCTGTAAGTTCAGAGAGATTTCACCTTCTTTATTCTGGAGAGAAATCATGAACTGTATTTATAAATAAACACATGAATACGTTTCCACTTCTTGTTTTAGTCCCTCCACAGTCTCTGCCCTTCGTCCCCTTTGCCTTGGTGACTGTGATCTTTCTCCACATTATAGTAGCTGTGGTTTATCACACCAAGAGAAACAAAGGTAGAAACCACACAATCAGCTTTTGTAGACATGCTAGTTTTCTTCTTGGTGTGAAATAACATGTTTTTCTTGAAAATGTCTCTATCAGATCCTGCCAGAGGTCACTACAGCACTGCTGATGGAGGTGGAGTGGTCAGTCTGGAGTAGTGCAGACCTGCAACACTGCTGTTAATTCAACATTTTGGTAGCTGAAACATTTCGAGATCAGAAATGATTGTTCCAAATATCCAAATGTTCTTGAGTGAAAATGTTTATGAATTTCTCCACAGATGCTGTTCATATACAGACCAAAATGTGCCATGAAAATCATCTGTAACTCTGTTACTGCTTCTTTTTTTATTGTAATTTTTAATAAAATATTGAAAGTGACAGAATTAATTGCTTTAGTTTCATTTATTTTGTAGTCTCATTATGTATGTTTAGAGTTTAGTTGTTTTACAGATTTACAGCTTTATATTTTATGACTAATATGCACAGTTTACCTAGGAAATAATTAGAAAAAATATTATTATTATTATTATTATTAGTAGTAGTAGTAGTAGTAGTAGTAGTGTTACTTTTACTAATAACTGTGCAAATGTCTGAGGTAATTAATTTGTACAGTTATACATCCAGGCAGTTAGAGTTTATATATATATATATAAAGAATAAAAAAAACAGTAAAAATCTATTGTGATTTGTTGTGTGTGAATGTATTATTTTAGCCATTTCCAAAGTTCTCCTTAAAGACCACCATTGACATTTACCATGCAATACCTAGTTTATTTAGTCAAATGATGTAATCATTTAACAAATACATACACTAAATTGCCAAAAGTATTCACCCACCCATCCAGATCATTGTATTCAGGTGTTCCAATCACTTCCATGGCCACAGGTGTATAAAACCAAGCACCTAGGCATGCAGACTGCTTCTACAAACATTAGGTCACTATTAGGAGCTCAGTGAATTCCAGCGTGGTACCGTGATAGGATGCCACCTGTGCAACAAGTCCAGTCGTAAAATTTCCTCACTACTAAATATTCCACAGTCGACTTTCAGTGGTGTTATAACAAAGTGGAAGTGACTGGGAATGACATCAACTCAGCCACGAAGTGGTTGGCCACATAAAATGACAGAGTGGGGTCAGCGAAGTCACCAACCTCCTACACATCACCAAGCGCAATGCAAAGCGTCAAATGCAGTGGTGTAAAGCGCTGCCACTGGACTCTAGAGCAGTGGAAACGTGTTCTCTGGAGTGACGAATCACGCTTCTCCCTCTGGCAATCCGATGGATGAGTCTGGGTTTAGCGGTTGCCAGGAGAACAGTACTTGTCTGACTGCACCAGTGCACAAAGCAAGGTCCATAAAGACATGGATGAGCAAGTTTGGTGTGGAAGAACTTGACTGGCCTGAACAGAGTCCTGACTTCAACCTGAAAGAACGCCTTTGGGATGAATTAGAGCGGACACTATGAGCCAGGCCTTCTCGTCCAACATCAGTGTCTGACCTCACAAAGTCCCATAAACACTCCTAACCCTGGTGGAAAGCTTCCTAAAAGAGTTGAAGCTGTTATAGCTGCAAAGGGTGGGCCGACATCACATTAAACCCAATGGATTAAGAATGGGATCTCACTCAATTTCATATTCGTGTGAAGGCAGACGAGCGAATACTTTTGGCAATATAGTGTAAGATGGATGGAACCAAACCTATGTTCTACAAATTGTATATATTAACAACTTTGACAACTATTGACTATTTGACAAAACTATTGGGACACCTCCCAATTACACCTACAGTAGCTTTGATATCCCATTCTAAATAATAGGCATTGAGATTCCCGGGGAGCAGTCTGGATTACACAGGGAGTGGTTACAATCTGTCCTTGGTGCATACACTTGTTTAGGAGACAAGGAAAAGGACTGGCAGTAACTATTCGATCTTATCCGCCACCCAGACATTGCAGCAACTCGCTGGTGGTATGTGTCCTGGTCCTTGGTTCTCCTTTCAACATGCTCACCACCACCGCATTTGTTGTTGTCATCACACACTTACGCTTTTGTTGAGACTCCCATGTTCAGCCGCTCTCTCTCTCTCTCTCTCTCTCTTTACAAACACACCCCTACAATTCACCCTACAAGCAGTTACACTAGTGGTTCTCAGACTGCCCACATGCTCTGTCCCTATGTGTTGCAAAATGGGTTGGAGCAAAATTATGGATCATTTGGGGCCTCATGGACTGAATTGGGAACTACTGGCCTACACTTATGTAAGAAGAGGGCAGATCCTTTAGAGTTAAATCGAATGGAGAAAAAACAACTTAAACTCTTTTCCTAAACCCCACCCCCTCCCACTGTAGATGGAGTAACTTAGATGTGTGTATGAAACAACTTAGTCAGTGTGGCTGTGTGTACTGTGAAAACATGCACCACAATAGAGGAATCAGTAAGGGTTCTCGTGTCTCAGTAGACGCCGTGTCACTTTGTGTGGTTTTATGAGTGTCGCAAAGTTAACTTTGAAAGACAGTTCCAGGAAAGTACACTGAAAAAAAAATGTGTTGGATTTTCTTAAAAAATCAAGGCAACGTTTTGCATGGAGCATTTTAAGTAGATTCATGAGAGATAGTTAGTTGAATATGATCAGTTTTTTTATGCTTACTCAATTGTATTAAGTTAATTCAGTTGTCTTTGCTTAAAGTATTACTTCAGGCTAATGTTAAAAGCTAAGTCAGGCCTGAACACATGCTAACCAGAAACTATGCATGACTGTAGAGGTGCATGCACTACTTAAAACCTGGCTTTAAGTTAGATGACAAGGCAGCTTTCAGCTCTCAGTCTGTCCTGGGCTATCAGAGAGGCAAAGCACAACTATGCACAGGGAATCCATGGACACTTTCTAGACACCAGACACACACAGCATTTGTGGCAGGGACATTCAGGCCAGCACTGACTACAAAGTGACATCATATGCCTGTGATGGTGATGCTTTGCTCCCTGATGCACTGAAAGATGTGTGCATGTGGCTTGAAGCACAGAACAACCAGCCAGCAAAGGACACCACTCCTCCTCCCACCAATCAAATATTGAGCCTGTCCATAGTAGACGTTAGGACTACTCTTTCTCTTACTCTATGGATTTCTGTGAAGCTGCTTTGTGACAACATCAGTTGTAAAAAAGCGCTATACAAATAAGTTTGACTTGACTTGACTTGACTCTTTCCACAGTTAACCCTCAGACGGCTACTGGCTCTGACAACATACCTAGCTGGGTGCTCGGGGATGTGCTGACCAGCCTGCGGACATCTCCAACATCTCTCTGAGTCCTGCAGTTGTCCCAAAGTGCTTCAACAGAACCACCATCATCCTGTGCAAAAAAATTCGGTAACACTTTCTATGAATGTCACCTTTGCAAGCATCTATAAACACATTCATAACATGTTATAATGCATTCATAAGACACTATAAACATAGCTATAAATATTTATAAAAATGCATTACACGTTATAGCCATGTTTATTATGCATTATGAATTGTTAACATAATACATTATTATGTTAAAGTACTGATCATAACAAATTATAAGAGCTCATAAGTTGTATTTGTCCGCTCTAAGTAAAGTGAAGCGTACTGTACTAAAGCCTCCTCCAGTGTTAAGAGTTTAAGTATTTACTGAAGGATATACTGAAACACTAAAACATTCACAATAAAGCACATTACAGGCTTCAAATGTCAGAGTTTAAACTAGTGCTGCCATCAGTGTTTTACCTAATGTGGGAAAGGTAATGTACACCACCGTTAGCTTGGTATTTGTCTTTACTTTACGATCTCCAAGCTGGGACTGACTTCTTTGGCACTGATAGTCTGTGTTATTAACACTATTTATAATGCATTATATCAACAATTTATAATGTATCATAAACATGGCTATAAAGTGTAATTCAGTGTAATTCTTTTTTATAAATATTTATAACCTTGTTTATAATGCCTTATGAATACATTATAACATGTTATAAATGTGTTTATAGATGCTTACAAAGGTGACATTCATAGAAAGTGTTACCAAAAATTCTACTATGTCCTGCTTTAATGACTACTGACCCATAGCGCTCATGAAGTGCCTTGAGCAGTTGGTAATGATGCATATAAAGAGCAGTCCTCCTACCACACTGGATCCATTTCAGTTTGTGTATTGCCCTAACTGGTCTATAGAGGGTGCCATATCCTCTGCCATCACCTCTCATTGACCCACCTGGGCATAAAAGCTGAATATGTGAGAATGTTGTTCATAGCTTTCAGTACAGCATTCAACACAATAATACCACAGCAACTTATTGGAAAGCTGAGCTTGCTGGGCCTGAGCTTTTAGGTGTTGAGTCACTAGTTTGTTTATTACTGTCTTTGTAGTGTGTGAAAGGGTCACTGGCATGAGGTGTTGAAGTGAAATAAACATGGTTTGGTGTCACTGTGTGGCGAGAGCGGACGCCGGATATAAACCAGTGACCTACTGCGTGAGAGAGTGGAGCTCTACGACTGCGCCAGAAGAAGCAGTGAGAAAAGAACTGTAGGGAACGGCAAGCAAAGAGAACAAAGGGACCTCTTTAAAAGGGAAAAAATGAAACAAAACCATCTTGAAACTCGAGGGGAAAAACTTAGAATGTAAATAGTGCACAGCTCGTTCTTATAAACTCTGATGTAGAATCCAGGTTGAGTGCTGAGCTTTCCCCTGTCCAGCTCACTAACCTCGCTTGATATCGTTCTTTACTTTTGGATCCCTGTTCAACCTTTTACCCAGCCCCTTTTTCCTTTCACAATGCTCAGCCCCTCTACTGGCAACCAGTGTCCTAGCCTGACTCCTTACATCACCCCAGGGTTGCATATATGATGTCCAGTTGTATTATCCTGTCTGGTATTTATTGCCTGGCATATTTATTATATATACTGCACTCACTTCACACTGCCATCTGTCTTGACTGTGTAGTCCTATGCAATGTACTGCTGGTGTGTGTTGCACCATGTGGCCTGAAGAACAAAATAGTGCTCCAGTGTAAACAATTATATTAAGAAATGACAATAAAGACGTCACTTGACTTGGTACAGGACTCCTTAAGGTCCGATATAGAATGTCATGTAAATTTGCAGTTTTGCATGAATGAACTATTGATAGTACAATGGTATATGTAGACCCATGTCACCAAGGGTCACAGAAAGAGGTGTGCCAGCTACCACTGCACACATTTTAAATTTGCATATTTTAGAGTTCAAAACAAACTGGGTTGTTGCATCATAACAGATATCATTGGCACAGAAAAAGATTTACAGCAGAATGATCTCAGATCAGTTTTTTGTTGTTAAACTTAAATGTTGGCAACCATAGAGAAAAAGCACAAACTCTATGAAAACTACATGGAGAATCCCACAGAAAACATGAAAAAGAAAAACAAAGTGAGCTATTTCTTCTGTTCCTCATGTTCACTCTCTTATCTAAAGCAGACACTTAAACCACTAGACCTCACCCCTTCACACTTTCTCTTGGTCAGCGTAAGTGTGTGTGTTACCAAATAATGCATCAGAAAAGAGGAAACTGCAGATGGGCTGAGTGTGCTTTGAATAAAGAATTGGGCATCTGCAGACTAATGGACAGTGGGTAAAGGATCTAATTCTTTAAATAAAGAATTTATCATTGCAGTCCAGTCTTCTGACTCTCTTCATTACCACAGAAAAAGATTTACAACAAAATTATCCCAGATGTTACTTGGGACATTTCTCGGTTTTTTGTTGTTGAGCTTAAATGTTGGTAATCATAGAGAAAAAGCACAAACTCAGTGAAAATAACAAGCAGAATTCCACAGAATGCATGAAAATGAATCAATGCGAGGTCATTCTTCTGTTCCTCATGTTCACTCTCTCCTCCAAAGCAAACACTTAAACCGCGACACCCCACCCCCACAACGTGTGTGTGTATTACCAAATAATGCTCTGGAAAAGAGGAACCAGCACATTATTTCACAACTCACAGGACACCTTGAGACTGTGCATGACTTTCATGTGGTTTAGAGTGAAGAGCTGCTGAGAGAGCTGTGTACTCAGTGTGGTATACAGGGCTAGTGTAGTGCTGGGTGTGGAGCTGTCAGTGTGCTGTGAACTCAGTGTTGTTTTACTAGTGAGGATGTTGCTGACTTTTTATCTTCTCTTCATTGGGCTTCATGTCTCTGAAGGTGAGTGACTTTTTTTTATCATGATATGAAAATGTCAGTCAAAATGAGCCAATAGTATGAGCTCCATTTATCTTGTAATATAACATATTCAAACATAGCACTACGTAACCATGCTGTTTACTTTTTATGAAGGCTTGGTCCTCTGGTTTACCCTAAGCTGTCAACTGACTTTATGACTTCATGTAAATGAAAAAAAAGAAAAGAAAATGTAATTAACTTTATTCTATTACAGGCTGCACTCTGAAAGACAGTCAGAAAACATTGATTAGCGAAGCACATAAAGGAGAGTCAGTACTGCTGCCCTGCTCCTGCACTGACCTACACACTAAACCTGAGGGATTAAAGTGGATGAAATATTACACCAAAAGCAGCACGTGGGAAGAGATATCCAGTGAGAGTGGTCAGTTCAGAAACAGAGTTCAGCTGGTTAATGGTCACTCTCCAGGAAATCTCTCTCTACTCATATCACACCTGACTGAAGAAGATAGAGGAGATTACCAGTGTAATGCAGACAAGAGTGGATACTTATATGTCAGCCTCTACGTTAAAGGTAACACAATATTTATATCTCTATTCCTAATGAAAAACTATTAAAATATTATTGTTCATTTAGACCAAACTCTGTAGTCACATGACAAAGGAGTGTTTTACATCTCTGTGAAGAACTACTGAGAGAGTTCTGGAGGTGAAGATGTGTTTTCAGTAGTTGGTGAGGATCATGATTAGGAGTTTGTTTTACTGCTGAGAGTTTAATTCTGTTTTAATTTGCTTCACGTTTCTGTAGTTGAGTATAAATGCCAGTTCTCTTCTTAGTCATGAAGTGTAAAGGTGAATTTAAGTTGAAATCAAAATGCTGTGAAAAGGTTGCTTTTTGACATTTCGTGTAATGGTCAGAACAGATGATCTGGTCCCCTGTCCAACACAAGTACACAATTTTAGTAAAAAAAGAACTAAAGATAAAAACAAGGGAACAGTTAACAAGGCTTGTTCTATACACCATAAAGCCAAAAGTACGCTATATGGGCAAAACTTTGGGGACAACTACACATTGGAGCTTTTATAACATCCCGTTCTAGACCCATAGCCAATAATATGGAGTTGGTCCCATTCATCTAGGAGAGGTCAGACACTGATGTTGGACGAGAGGGCCTGGCTCCCAGTCTCCGTTCTAGTTCATCCCAATGATGTTTGATGGGGTTGAAGTCAGGGCTCTGTGAGGGCCAGTCAAGATCTTCCACACCAAACTAACCCAACCATGCCTTTAGGGACCTTGCTTTGTGCACTGGGGCTCAGTCATGCCGTTCCCACAAAACTGGAAGCATAGAATTGTCCAAAGTATCTTGGTTTGCTGAAGCATTAAGTTTTCACTCTCCTGGAACTAAGGGGTCTAGGCCAACCCCTGAAGTCCCTGAACTCATCAGTACAACCCATTCTACTGCCAGTGTTTGTCTATTAAGACTAAATTAAGAGACAAAATTAAGCTATGTGCTTAATTTTATCCACCTGTTAGCAATCGGTGTGGCTGAAACACCTGAACTAAATTATTAAAAGCGGTCCCAATACTTTTGTCCATATAACATATGTGTGTCAATGTGTGAATATTGTGAATGAAACATTTTAGTTTTGGTTGTCAGAAAGGGGTTTTAGGGCAGTGGTTTGCAGAGCTTTGCTGCGAGCCCAACTCCCCAACATGAAACAGTCATTTTTTTTGGTTCAGTTGCTTTAAGTACAGTCTATGTATCTATTCTGCATTGTGTTTTCATGGGCGGTGGGTGTTCTGTTTTGGAGAGTGGTCACCAAGCATATGGTTTGTGAACACCTCCCCCCATTGGGTTGGCTAAGTTCAGTGGCTATTTCTGCTTGTTCTAAATAAAAGAGCATTTTCTTCTTTTGGTTCTCGTTCATCAAGACATTACAATATGGAGTTGCCCCCCTTTGTAGTTATAATAGCCTCCAACCTTCTGGAAAGAGTACCTTCACACCAAACTTACTGAAATATGTCTTTATTATCTTCTTGTTGTGCACAGGGACACACTCATGGAGGGCATGAAAGGGCATTCCCCAAACCATCACCACAAAGATGGAAGCACTTAATTGCTTAAAATGTCATTGTATACTGTAACAGTAACATTACCCTTCACTGGAACTAAGGGGCTGAGCCACAACCCTGAAAAACATCCCCAGATAATTATCCCTCCTCTACCAAACTTTACTGTTGGCGCTATGTTTTGTGAGTTCCCTGCTCTGTGAGCTTGCCTGGTCTACAATTTCATGACTAAGCTGTTGTTGATCCTAGATGCTTCCATTTCACAATAATAGCATTTGCAGTTAACCTGGGCAGATGTAGCAGGGTAGAATTCTCACATACTAAGTTTGACTAACTGAAATTTCACAAACTGGCTAATTGGCAAAAGATGACATTTTATGGTAATGCCACCTTTAATGTCAATGAGCTCTTCAGTATGACCCATTCTATTGCCAGTACTTGTCTACAGATGGTGCATGGACATATACTTGATTTTATATACCTATTAGCAACCTGTGTAGTAGAAACAGCTGAGCTCAATATTTGGTGTCCATATACTTTTACACTCTTACAGACTTTAACAGTTTGTGTGCACTGTGATAGGATGAACTACAAAACAGGAAGAGCAAGTGTTGTTACAGACTAGACCATGACACTGGATGTGGTTTTGTGGCTGTCGCAAAGCTGCTGGTGAAAACTTTGAAGATAAACTCCAGTGTCAGTTTTCATTAGATGTAATGAAGTATATATATATATATATATAAATTACTTAAGGGTCTAAATACTAAAAATCATGCAGTTACTTGTACACAATCAAAATGCATTGGGTCCTTTTGTTCTTCTCAAAGTTTTGTGGACACTACTCAATATATTCCTCTAGCTCCACCCCCCCAACAACAGGCTCTCTTTTACCAGTTTATACTTTATTAACACTAAACTGAAGGATCTTTTACTTTAACAAGAGAACGCTGTACAGATCTGCAGATTTCTAACAGGATTGTAGTCTCCTTTAGAAATACCCAGAGATGGGCTTTAAATTCAGACATTTTTAGAAGGAATCAATGTAAAACTGAAAATCATCAAGATTCTAACAACCATACAGGCAACATACTTCATACTTTGTATGTCTGTTACAAGCTTTACATGTTCCAGTTACAGCTAGAACTGGCATCAAATGTGAAGGTACAGCATGGAAACACTTAATAGTAACATAACACTGCAACTTCTTATAACTTATAACTTCTGCTAATCAGATAAACAGAAACAGAGCTCAGCTGGTTAATGATCACTCTCCCTCTGCTCAAATCAAACTTATGTGAAGAGGATGGAGGAGTGTACGGGTGTAATGCTATGAAGAGGGGATACAGAGACAACATGTATTGTTGAAGGATATAAGCATATTAACCCCTACCCTGTGTAGGTTGTTGGTGATGTCACTCACTGTTGTTTTGAGGTTTTTTTTCACAGCTATCACAATGTTTCTGACATCAACTACTGTTGTTTTCTTTAGCCAGCTTGTTAAATCTCTGGTTGTTAGTACACCAGAGTGATTGCTTCCTTTTTATACACATTCCAAATTATTGTATTGGCTTTGCCCAGTGCTTGAACAAAAGTTCTGATTGATATGTGCTCTTTTCTTAGCTTCAAGATGGTCTTCTTTTCTCCCATAGACAGGTTTTTTGGTCTTCATGTTGTTTTACCCTTTTTAACAACAAAGGCAGTCTTCACAGGTGAAATCCAGGGCTCAAACAAATAAGAGATATTCAGAGTGACCCAGGCAAGAAAAAACTTGATACACTGTTGCTGCCCCCCTACCCCAAAAAAAAAGGTGCCCCTTCCCCGCAAAAAGCTTCAATTTTTTTCTACAAGATGCAGCTGGCCTTTACATTGTATGAAAATCATGATCATTCAGATTATTTTTAATTAAATTTCTGTATTGCTCAAAAGAAAGTGGACATGCCTATGCAATACTATTTATTTGTCATGTACACATTTCTATAAGAGATCACACATCGGTTAGTTCTGCCTGTCCTACATTTTCAGTTCGTGAATTTCAAAAATGTTACATTAAAAATTGCATGACAAATTTTTTGTGCGATGTGTTTCTACAGTCTGCTCTCTGGAAAACAGTGGAGTACCACTGAGTATCTCAGCTCATACAGGAGGGTCAGTACTGCTGCCCTGCTACTGCACTGACCAACACACCAAACCTGAGAGATTCACCTGGAATAAACTCAACATAACCAGTACCACATGGGAAGTGATATCCACTGAGAGTGGTCAGTACAGAAACAGAGTTCAGCTGGTTAATGGTCACTCTCCAGGAAATCTCTCTCTACTCATATCACACCTGATTGAAGAGGATGATGGATGGTATAAGTGTGATCTTGGAGGAAGCGAACAGATAGTCTTCAATCTCACTGTTACAGGTAAATCACTCTTGGGCTACTATTTAAAATACAAAACAACATTAATACTGATCTAGCAAAAAGTGACAAAACTGAGCTAAACTTGATATTGCGGCAGTTTTATGGCTCAGTCTGATTGGGTCAGGCTCTGAAGATTAGACTAAATGTTTGGTGAATGGTATTGGGTTCATTTCTGGCTAATCCCAGGTTGTTTCGCTGTTCTTCTGTCACAGCTGCTGACTGAAAAGCTGCTCAGTGGTAATGAAAGTTCCCGAATTTAGTGTAAGGAGCTGGAGAACGAACTGCCGGCTGTGCAGCGAGTGAGTCGAGCTTGTTACTCTGACATAACAATAAGCTGCTTATTAAGGAACTATAATTTGGCGGAAGGAACTGCAAACATTAAAACATATTAAATGCCACGTTCACGACCCAGTTTATTAATTTCTTACTTTATTTATTTAACTGTTGTATAAAAGCAGTAGAACACTCGAGGTCGTGTGTTATCGTGATGACATGCTCCTCCTTGTCTTCTGTTGCTTAAGTGTACTAGGCTCCTTTAAAAATATCCAAGGGACAGGCTTCAAAATCTGACATTTTCAGACGGAATCAATGTAAAATTGAAACATAAAGATTCTAACAGCCATACAGGCAAAATACCCTTTACTTTGTATTTCTGTTACAAGCTTCACATGTCTGTGTTACAGCTAGAAATGGCATTAACTGTGAAGGTACAGCACTTGACACTAAGACATGTAATACTGACATGTATTACTGTAACTTCTTAAGAAGGCTGTAGCAGAAATCAGCACTATGTTAGCCGCTAATCAGATAAACAGAAACAGAGCTCAGCTGGTTAATGATCACTCTCCCTCTGCTCAAATCAAATCTGTGTGAAGAGGATGGAGGAGTGTACGGGTGTAATGGGTGTAATAAATTCAGGGAACTCCAATTCCCAGAAGCCCTTGGCCTGATAAGGCCCAACCTGGCACACCTGTGGTCTCCTCTACTTAGGGTTGTGGCAAACAGCAGCCCTTTGTCACATCTTTGTAGAGGAATGACCGGTACAGTCCTCAGCCCAGGTGGGTATTTAAAAGAAAAGAAAAGAAAAGCAGCCTGGAAAAAACAAAAGAGAGAAATTGCCCCAAAACTACTGAAAACCGAAAGAAGGCTTCAGCATGAAAACTGAAACATAAAGTTGGCCTTCCTTTCATAATCACATTTTCACCTGCGCTTCCCGGTGGCACAGCGGTAACTCCTTGGACGGCCAATGAGTACATCATGTAGGTTGTTGGTGATGTCACTGACTGTCGTTTTGAGGTTTTTCTTCACAGCTATCACAGTGTTTCTGTCATCAACTGCTGTTGTTTTCTTTAGCCAACTTGTTAAATCTCTGGTTGTTAGTAAACCAAAGTGATTGCTTTCTTTTTATACACATTCCAAATTATTATATTGGCTTTGCCCAATGCTTCAAAAAAGGCTCTGATTGATATGTGCTCTTTTCTTAGCTTCAAAATGGTCTTCTTTTCTCCCATAGACAGTTTTTTAGTCTTTTTTTTAGTCATCTGGTTTATCCTTTTTAACAACAAATGCGGTCTTCACAGGTGAAATCCAGGGCTCAAACAAAGAGGAAATATTTAGTTACCTGGGCAAGAAAAAACAAAACAGTCTTGATACACTGTTGCTACTGTGCTACTTTACACTGTATACAAATCATGATCAGAATTATTTTGAATTAAATTTCTATATTGCTTAAAAGAAAGTGGACATGCCCATGCAATACTGTTTATTTGTCATGTAAACATTTCTATAAGAGATCACACATCGGTTAGTTCTGCCTGTCCTACATTTCAGTTCATGAATTTCAAAAGTGTTACATTAAAAACGTACATGACAGATTTTCTGTATGACATGTTTCTACAGTCTGCTCTCTGGAAAACTGTGGAATATCACTGAGCATCTCAGCTCATACAGGAGGGTCAGTACTGCTGCCCTGCTACTGCATTGACCAACAGACCAAACCTGACACATTCACCTGGAAGAAACTCAACATAACCAGTACCACATGGGACGAGATATCCAGTGAGAGTGGTCAGTACAGAAACAGAGTTCAGCTGGTTAATGGTCACTCTCCAGGAAATCTCTCTCTACTCATATCACACCTGACTGAGGAGGATGGGGGATGGTATAAGTGTGATCTTGGAGGAAGTGAACACATAGTCCTCAAACTCACTGTTATAGGTAAAATTCTCTTGACTTACTACTTCAAATGTATAGTGTTTCATAATATTGATTATATGAGTCATAATAGGATGGTTTTTCAGTCTCTTCACAGTCTCTGCCCTTCGTCCCCTTCGCCTTGGTGACTGTGATCTTCCTCCACATTATAGTAGCTGTGGTTTATCACACCAAGAGAAACAAAGGTACAAACTACACAATCAAATAGTTGTAATCATGCTAATGTTTTTCTGTGTATGAATTAACATCTTTCTTGAAAACATCTCTATCAGATCCTGCCAGAGTTCACTACAGCACTGCTGATGGAGATGGAGTGGTCAGGCTGGAGTAGTGCACATCCTCTTCGGTAATAATTTGAAAGAATTTCATCCATACTGTCCATACGAAGGCAAACATATCACAATACAATCCGTTGCTTTTTTTTACTTTTTTATTTTTACTATATTTTTACAAGATTTTTCATAATTTACATGAATTTGTATAAAAATTATGGTTTCCTGCTTTTATATATGATACTCTTTACTAAATCTTGTTTAATTTTATTTACAATATAGTTATTCAGTTTCTGTTGCATTTTGCATTTTATATTGCTGTTGTTGAAAAAAAAAAACAAAAAAAACTTGTATCTCCGAAAAGGTAACTTTAAGGGAAAAGGAAAAAACCTTTACTTTTACTGTAAGTCAATGGAACCAGACTTTTTTCCAAGTCATTTTGGGCCGTTTCTTTTGGTTCATTCATCATGAAATTTACACACAATGTGGACAACAGGCATTTTCAAATTATGTCAAAAACTGAAAATAAAATAATAAAATTAAATAATAAAAGTTTTCTTCTGACAATAACTATTGTACATAGTTTTTGAATAACATATTGGTTGAGTTTAAATTTTAAGCTATTTTTAATATTTTTATTATTCTGATTAATATTTTTTATTAAAACCTTTGTAAAATCGTTTTATAAAACATGCTTTACTGAATGTAAACTTGTAAAACTTGTAAAAATGGTGACTGCTAATAATCAGTGTTAATATAATACATTTGGTCTTTTCTTTTATATGTTATTTCTCCTTAAAGTACCACAGACCTCTAGGCTAGTGTTACCCCTCATCCACACACTGGGCCTTATTCATCAAAGTTGTGTAAAGATAAATCTGAAAATAAAGTCAGTGTTATTTCTTATTCGTCTTTTTCAGTGTTATTCCTTATTCGCCCATTTAAAGTGATGGTTTATCTGTGAGATGAAACTCACTTCTGGCCAGTTTGTTTGTACATGTATGCAGAATGTTTTACCAACTTGACAAATGCTTCAATTCATTACTAATATCAGTATTAAAAATATATATTGACAAGCATTTCAAATTTTTCACATTTTTAAATACACCGATCAGGCATAACATTAAGACCACCTCCTTGTTTCTACGCTCATTGTCCATTTTATCAGCTCCACTTACTATATAGGTGCACTTTGTAGTTCTACAGTTACAGACTGTAGTCCATCTGTTTCTCTGCATACTTTGTAAGCCCCCTTTTACCCTGTTCTTCAGTGGTCAGGACCCTCATGGACCCTCACAGAGCAGGTACTGTTTGGGTGGTGGATCATTCTCAGCACTGCAGTGACACTGACGTGGTGGTGTGTTAGTGTGTGTTGTGCTGGTGTGCTTGTCTGAGTGGATCAGACACAGCAGTGCTGCTGGAGTTTTTAAACACCTCAATGTCACTGCTGGACTGAGAATAGTCCACCAACCTAAAATATCCAGCCAACAGCGTCCTGTGGGCAGCATCCTGTGACCACTGATTAAGGACTAGAGGATGACCAACATATACTGTGCAGCAGCAGATGAGCTATTATCTCTGACTTTACATCTACAAGGTGGACTGACAAGGTAGGAGTGTCTAATAGAGTGGACAGTGAGTGGACACAGTGTTTAAAAACTCCAGCAGCACTGCTGTATCTGATCCACTCAGACCAGCACAACACACACTAACACACCAGTGTTACTGTAGTGTTGAGAATGATCCACCACCCAAATAGTACCTGCTCTGTGAGGGTCCATGGGGGTCCTGACCACTGAAGAACAGGGTAAAAGGGGGCTAACAGAGTATGCAGAGAAACAGATGGACTACAGTCTGTAACTGTAGAACTACAAAGTGCACCTATATAGTAAGTGGAGCTGATAAAATGGACAATGAGTGTAGAAACGAGGAGGTGGTCATAATGTTATGCCTGGTCGGTGTATGAAGAAAAATGTGTAGACTTGTATCTTTGTTATGTTTTTTTAATCCTTTAACAAAGTAGTAATCATAAATTGAAAGATATTTGGGAATCAGGAGTGCCATCATAGTACCAAGTTAAAGAGTATTCAATCAGTAGCTGGATTTCTTGGAGCACAACCACTTTTTACTTGACTCACTTAACTGCATAAATTAAGTCATTTCATGTAAATGACAAGCAGGTAGGGAAACTTAGGTGTGATATCTTCAGATGATGTAAGGGACTAGTGGGCAGATGTTTGTTTCCATGCAGCTGAAGTTGATTTATTGACCAACTTGCGCACAAATTTCAGCTTTGACAATGTCATGAATCAAACAGTGTGTCATTGGCATGTTCTGGGCACTCGGATCTGCATTTGTTTTTACCAAACTTAGATGAAGAAGGGCAGATTCCTTCACACATGAAGCATTTTACTGTGCGTTACTTGTCACAGAGTCACATCTGATATTTTTGCTGTGTTGTTTATATTTTGGACATTTCTGTAAATGCTTTGCAGGTCTTTACATGTTATTTTGGAGGGGTTGGTTGTTTTTTACTTGAAATTTAAATTTTGGTAAATAAAGTCTGCATTTGCATCCAAACACTCTTGGTCTGGTGTTGCACGCTTATGCGAGAATTTCCACACATTTTTGGGCCTGTTGAGCTGTTCTGTAAATACATCCACATCAATACTAACATAAACCAAATGTGAATGTAGATATAGAGCCAAAAACACAAGTTATATTAAGAAATTCCAGGTGGGTTTGGAAAATATGACAGCTAGTTTCTGGCAACTTAAAGTAGCCAAATATTACAAGAAATCAAGCAACAAAAGTATGAAACAACAAGCTAAAGACAGATTTGACTGAACTTTTAGTTGTAGGATGAGAAGAACGGATGGAGGGTCCTCCCAGAGGTACAGGTCACTATCCATCTTACAAATAGGATCAGTTCTGTTATTTTGGAGACACAAAGGTGCACAAATAGCCTATAGTTTGCAATTTAGGTCTGTCAGTGACCACTTTTACAGTTTTCCAAACACCAATCCATTAGCATACAAGCTAGTGGATTTTGAAGCTTCAGGTTATTGTTTTGAATAGCCAGCTGGCTAACAAACTTGCTGGCTGACATACTAACACCAGCGGCAATGTCATCGCCGTCTAGCTAGACCATATGATTTATCTGTCTTTTAAGGTTAGATGATGTTGGAATGCTACTTACTTAGACAGCTGCCAGTGTAGACAATGGCTACTAAAGAGAGCTCACTAGGTAATGTGACACACCCTGTGTCCATGTCGGATGACGGCAGGGTCTTCGGAGTTCACACAACTGGAAAAAGAACATGAAGCCATTCACCAACACAGATTCCTGGCTATAAATGCCTCCTTTGAGAAATTGTCATGTATGAAGGGGACAGAGCTGTTCCTCCCGTATCTGCACTGTTGAACCAGCCTAGAATAAAGGAGGCACTATCCGTGGTGCTGAAGACTTCACCTCTGCCAGTTCAGCACCTTTGTTGTGGAGAGCTCAAATTGCATAACAGGCTGCTAAGCAGCGTTCACAACTGGCATTCACCAGTTTAACATCAACTGCACTCTCTCACCAAATGCTGAGTGCTTTCTCGCTCCACGCACACCGGAATGACTGGACAAGAAAACCGACAAGCTGTCCCTTGATCCTGCTGCAGCAGAAAGAGCCACTCCACTGCGAAATATACCCATTAGGTTCTCCACCACCTTAAATCCTTTAACATATCACACATGGCAAATGAGATTTTAGCTGTAGTTGACTATGAGCCAAAGTTGGCACATACCTTGACCATGCAATCACTGCAGATAACATAATGTGAATCCTCATATAATAAACTACTGCAGCAAAAACAACTTAGAGGCATTTAGGTCACTGATGCTTCACTACCTCGATTACCATAAAAGGGCCAGAGAGAAGAACCAGTTAGACCACAGAATAGAGGGACGGCAGTACTTAAAAAAGAAAAAGAGAAGTGCATGTGGTCAGAATTGCTTGATTCAGTTTCAGTTCTCATACTTTAAACAATCCAAGTTTACACAACAGTGCAGATGTTAATCTCACTGATCACACTACATTATGGAGTGTCAGGCAATATGGAGGACAGCTAGAGATCAAAGGAGCTACGAGTGGAAAGTACTTGGAATATCTGCAGGACTGGACACTATAAAGGAAACATTAGATATGACTACTTAAAGCAGCCTAGAATATAAGGAACAAAATGAGATAAAGAGACAAAATAAAAGGCTTTAGACAGCTGTGATCATTCTTGGTTCTAGAATGGGAGGAAAGAGGTACAGATGAGATACAGGTGTAAATATGTGTCTTTCCCCTGGGCAGAACTTACTTAACCCCTTAAAACCCCAGGCTTATTACATACTAAGGCTTATTATTCAGCAACTACAGGGACATCAGTGCAAATTGGCTGAGCTATTCTTAAGTTATATAAGTGTGTACTAAAATGTTGGGCCTGCTAGTGGGCCTTGGCCATTAAGGTCAGGTCAGGGTCCACAGTCTGACTTTAGAGTCATTGTTTACTAAAAAATGTACTTTAGCAGAATGTGTTCTGTTTCTCATGCCCACTCTCTCCACTGACACTCCCCCCACCATGAACCTCACCCCACATCCACTGCAGACGCAGTAACTTGGACAGTGTGGGTGTGTGTACTATGAAATGATGGACCACAAAAGAGGAAACAATCAGCCTTCTCACGACTCAGAGACCAGCATGTCTTTGTGTGTGGTTTTGAGAGTGTCATGAAGCTGATGATGAAAACTTTAAAAGACAGACGAGCTCCACTCAAACAGACAGTCTGAGCTACACAAACTTTAGAGTGGGTTAGACTCCAGTGAAGAGCTGCTGAGAGAGCTGTGTACTCAGTGTGGTATACAGGGCTAGTGTAGTGCTGGGTGTGGAGCTGTCAGTGTGCTGTGAACTCAGTGTTGTTTTACTAGTGAGGATGTTGCTGACTTTTTATCTTCTCTTCATTGGGCTTCATGTCTCTGAAGGTGAGTGTGAACTTTAGTTACTCTTGACAGAAAAGAAAAAAAACAAAAAAGAGTTCTCCTTAATGAATCTGTAGTTTCTCTAAGACAACAGTGAGATCAGATGGAAAGACAAAGGAGACTTTTGCTCAAAAACTCCAGCTGCTTTGATATTTCTCTGGAGAAAAAGAGCCTAATAATCTCACATACTTTACTGAGTTTTAGTAGAGCAGTGGTTCCCAAACTGTGGTACGCATACCACCAGGGCCATGTTGAATGATTTCGAATAGTTCACAGTTTTAGTGAGTTATTAGTTTGTAGGTGCAGTGATCAGCGCTTAGTTGTTAGCATTTTCAATATGTGTTTATAACACTGCTTCATGTTTATAGTGCTGTTAAACACTGAGCAGATGATGTAACTGTAATAAATGTGATCTGTGGCTGGAGTTAGTGAACATTTTCTTACTCACTGTTCATTACAAAGCTGCAGACCCTCTCTTATGCACATATGCCCTATTATTGATGCTGTGGCCTATGATTACAAATAAAAAAGTTTAGTCATTTGCCTTCTTATGCTCCCTGTGCTCTGATAGGAAGTCTAGACTGACCCTCATCTATAATACAGTAATAAAGAAGTATCCCCAATATTGTTCATTTGTTAAGTATTATTAATTTGAAGGTAAATGTTAATAAAATCCTTTGTTGTACAATGTCAGAAAAAAGCAGTGTATAAGTAAGTAAATATACCCTCAAAGGTGCAGTAATGGTTTTAAGGCTCAATTGTGTACCTTAAATGAGGTACATTACTTTCACTTTTCTAGGGGAAAGGGACATATTTATAATTTCCCATAACCTAATGTTTCAAAACAGAAAAGTAAAGTAAATTCCTGCCAAGACTGAGAATGGGTGTATAAGGAGTGAGACAGGGGTATGCAGGAGTATGAAGGGGTACAGCACTGTAAAAAGTTTTGAAACCACTGTAGTAGAGATCTCAATAAAGTCATACGTAATGCAGAGATTTTCCAAGATACTAACCCCACCCTTAATCTGCAACTAAACTAATCTCTTCTGTATCACATGCACTGTATGTATTTTTTTTTTTCATCATCTAACGTAGAGATGGGCAGTTCCAGTTCTGCAGGGAAATAGGTCTCCACCACAGGCACCACCTGATTTCTCACACCTAGGCCTAGTTTCACACCATTTATGTACATATTTATTTTATCTCTACAGTTGTGTTTGCAGTTCGTGAATCTTGTCTTTTCACTGTACAATTCGAGAGCTGTTCCCTGTTGCTTGCTTATCTTATCTATCTGGTGTTTTTAGATCTCTCCATTGTTCTCTTCCCATTGTATCATTTTTTCTGCATTTTGTCTGTCCGCTCGAGGAGACGTGCTTTCAGTTTTTCAAAGACATCTTAAGGGGTACATATTAACCCCTTAACATTCCAGGTTTACTTCATACAAAGGCTTACTATTTAGTAACTACAGGGACTTAGAGGGAACTACAGGTTACAGAAGTGTGTAATAAAACTTTGGACCTGCCAGCAGCACCATGACTTGTTAAGGGGTTAATCTTAAGAAAATAAATGTATATTTTAGTAAAACATTAAATACATTACATGGTCAGAGGTTTGTGAACACCTGACTGTCACACCTACATGAAGTTGTGTGACTTCTCATTCCAAAACCATGGGCATTAATATGGAGTTGCCCCCTCCTTTGTGACTATAATAGCCTCCACTCCTCTGGGAAGGCTTTCCACAAGATTTTGCCCTGTGTCTGTGGGAATTTATGCCTATTTAGTCAAAACAGCTTTGGTGAGGTGAGACATTAATGTTGAACAAGAAGGCTTGGCTCACAGTCAGTGTTCCAATTTATCCCGAAGGTGTTCAGTGGAGTTGAGGTCAGGGCTCTGTGCAGGCCACTGGAGTTCTTCTACAACACAGGGGCATGCTGGAAAAGCCTTCCCGAAACTGTTGCCACAAAATCGAAAGCACAAAATTGTCTAAAATGTCTCTGTATGCTGTAGCATTAACATACCCCCTCACTGGAACTAAGCAGCTGAGCCCAAACTCACACCCAGATCATTATCCCCCCTTCAACAAACTTTATAGTTGGTTTTCATACATTTGTAGGTAGTGTTCTCCTGGCATCTGCTAGCCTATATTCATCCATCAGACTGAGGGTGAAGAATGATCATCAGCTCAGAGAACCCATTTCCACTGCTCCAGAGTCCAGTGGTGGCACACTTTATGCCGAACTAGCCAACACTTAGCATTACATTTAGTAATCTTAGGCTTGTGTGCAGCTGCTCAGCCATAGAAAACCATTTTATTAAGCTCCTGATGTTGCTTCCCAAGGCAGTTGTAACTCTGAAGTGAATGATTTAAAAGGGGATAGGCAGTAGGCGAGTATATACTGGACACATGGCACAATGGATAGTTGTTGGACTGTGTTGGGGAAGTCGATAGTTTAGTGATATTCTTTGTGATTCAATCCAGTGAGGGTAAAATACTTTTTATGGTTTTTGTCAGGACATATAAATGTGATATGTCAGTCACAGTTAGAAAAAAATACTAATAGCAACTTATATAAATAGAAAGTTTAAACAAATACACATATTTACTTTATATTTTCTATTTATGCTTATGCATTTTGGCAGATATTCTTATCCAGAGCGACTTGCAATATAATCATGTAACATACGTAGGCATATGTAAATCTTTCCTGAAGACTTTTATTGGTTTCTTATTGGTTGTCCATTTTGGACAGCCCTATCTATTTAATCTTTCAGTCTACATCATCACTGTCGAAAGAAAAACAAGCATCTCCAAAATAATAACTTTACAGAAGAAAACAAAAACACTCTTATCTTTTAATGGAAGGTAATGCAAATAGAGATTTTATTCCAAGTGATTTAAGAGCAACTCTGTTGGTCCATTCATCATGAACTTTTCACAAAACATAAAGGACAGTTGGTGGGTTGAAATGACGTAGAAAAATAAAAATGAACAAAAATGGAGATACACAGTTTTCGGTAAAACTTTCTATGAATGTTGCATTTGTAAGCATCTATAAACACATTTATAACATGTTATAATGTATTCATAAGGCATTATAAACGTGGTTATAAATATTTATAAAAAAGAATTACACTGACTTTTATAGCCATGTTTATTGTACATTATGAATTGTTAATATAATGCATTATAAATAGTGTTAATAACATGTTATAATGTCAGTGCCAAAGAAGTCAGTCCCAGTTTAGAGAGCGTAAAGTTAAAACAAATACCAAGCTAACGGTGGTGTAGATTGACTCTCCCACATTGGGTAAAGCACTGATGGCAGCTCTAGTTTAAACTCTGACATTTGAAGCCTGTAATGTGCTTTATTGTGTATGTTTTAGTGTTTCAGTAAATCCTTCAGTAAATACTTCAACTTGAAGCCTCACTCTTAACACTGGAGGAGGCTTTAGTACAGTACGCTTCACTTTACTTAGAGTGGACAAATACAACTTATGAGCTCTTATAATTTATGATCAGTACTTATAATGTATTATGTTAACAATTCATAATGCATAATAAACATGGTTATAACATATAATGCATTTTTATAAATATGTATAGCCATGTTTATAATGTCTTATGAATGCATTATAACATGTTATGAATGTGTTTATAGATGCTTACAAAGGTGACATTCATAGAAAGTGTTACCCAGTTTTCTTTGGACAGTGATGACATGTGTAGCAATATGAGACAATGGCAGTATGTGATCAATCTTATCTGACTGATGTGTGTTTCTGCAGGCTGCTCTCTGGAAAACCTTGGAAAAGCAATGAATATCACTGCAGATGCAGGAGGGTCAGTATTGCTGCCCTGCTACTGCACTGACCTACACACCAAACCTGAGAAATTCAGCTGGAAAAAACTCGACACAACCAGAAACATATGGGAAGAGATACTCAGTGAGAGTGGTCAGTACAGAAACAGAGTTCAGCAGGTTAATGGTCACTCTCCAGGAAATCTCTCTCTACTCATATCACACCTGACTGAAGAGGATGAAGGAGTGTACAGGTGTGATCTTACAGGAAGCAGTTACATTGACATCACTCTCACTGTTGAAGGTAAACTCACTATTGGATCAGTTTTTGTACTGCATTTTCAACACTTCAGCTTCAAACTGTGCTAATTATTTTTGCACACACAGGTACAAATCCCACAAATCTCAAGACGCATTCCTTAATCTTTATCCCTGTTCTTCTACTCCTGCTGGGATTTGGAGCAGTTATCTATTGGAGACACAGAAGTAAGCACACACACTCAAACACACACAAACAGACACATACACACACACAGTCTTTTAGGATAACTCTGTATGGTTTCATTCTGCAGAACAGAAACGACGGCAGATGGAGAGCATAGAATACAGAGGGAGGAGGAGAGAGCAGGAGACACAGGTGAGTTCACACCAGAGATGTTTACAAGCCACTTCTTAGGAGTTCAAGTCAAGTCTGAAGTCTTTAAGGTGCAAGTCTGAGTCAAGTCTCAAGTCTCTGAAGTGCAAATCCGAGTCTAGTCTTAAGTTTCTAAGGTGCAAGTCTATGTGCAATTCCAACTTAAGTCTCTACACTGCAAGTCTGAGTCCAGTCTTGAGTCCCTGAGGTGCAAGTCTGACTTCAAGTCTCAGGTCTCTGAAGTGCGAGTTTAAGTCAAGTCTGGAGTCTCTAAGGTGCAAGTCTGAGTCATGTCTTGAGTTTCTGAAATGTAAGTCTGAATCAAGTCTAGTGGCTCTGAAATGTAAGTCTGATTCAAGTCTGAAGTCTCTGAAATACAAGTTCGATTCAAGTCTTGAGTCCCTGAAATGTAAGTCTGAGTCACGTCAGTTGTCTCTGAAATGAAAGTCTGATTCAAGTCTTGAGTCTCTATAATTATAGGAATTATAAAAAGGAAGATTATATCATTCAGACAGCTGCCACATGTCATGTATGAATGCATCAAAACTATAACTTTAACATTTGTGTTCTCTCTGCAGTCTCAGGTGACGTACTCTACTGTATTTTACAGTAACACAACCACAACAACACCCACAGTGACTGACTCTGGAGATAAGACTGAATACGCCACCATCAGAGTCAACTAATAACAACCATCTCTCCAAAATGTACCTGTTATCTTTTATACATGTTCAAAAATAAATTAATAAATAATGCTTCAACTGAAAATTCACTGATTTCATTAGTGTTCATATAATCTTCCTGAAGACTTTCAGTTTCACAATCTTAAGCTGTTTATGTAATAAACAGTAAAAAGTAATAAAATAGTAAAGTCTAAGACCTAAAATTGTTCAGGTTATGGTGGTATGAGAGAGTGATGCCAAAAGCCTGGATCCCACGCTAAAATCTTGTATGGCTATTCTAAACTACTAAGCAAGTAGACTTTATCCTCTGAAGTGACCTCAGGCTCTATTGGAATTTTTTTTAATGATGCCACCAAAGAAAAGAGCACAGACTAAAAGAGAAATATCACCTGAAGAAGGTATGCTAGTATTGGTAGCATCCCCAGACTTGCCACTTGCGTGGTTTCATGCAGAGATGGAAAAAGGTTTCATGAAAATTCAAGACATGGATGATGGTCACTTGAAAGAAATAAAAGGGTCATTTCAGAAAGTTCTGAATGACTGACCAAGAACTAGAGGAGTTTGAGAAATGGCAGAGTGGTTATAAGAATGCTAGCATCAGTGTAACTCTTACCCTTCCAGCAAAGTAGAACATAAAGAAAACAATGACGTTTTATCTTTATTCAACACAAAATGGTCACGTTTTTATTCTTTCAGCAAGAGAAAGTAAGGTAAAATACCTAGCTAGCCAAGTAGCTACCTTGATAACCTTTAGTTTTAGCATATTGTCCTCCTCATCTGATGAGTCATTTCTGTTGCTTGAGTAATCCATTCTCTCTATTGTAATAATGATGTGTAAAAATGATTTGAAGACAGCTATTATGGTTACATGGTTGCATTAAGCAGTAATATTATCTATCAGGCTTCTTTCTAAAAGAATAAAGAATAATATTGTTAAAAAAGAACAAATATTAACTCACAAAATCACTTGTGCCCATTCCAAAATGTTAAGAATGATACGTATATTCTGAAATTAGGTGATCTGAGCTGCTACACAGTTTTCATTCCCTTGCAAAATATCAGCTTAGCACTTCTGGACAGTTGCAACATATAGAAAACAGGCTGTTTCAAGTTGAAAAAAAAAAGTGTGGTTTGTGGTCTGTGACTGTCCTCGTTTCAGTTCATGTTTTAGAAGGATTTTTTTTTTAATGTTTACTTCACGAGATTTGATATGGAAACTGCACAGTACTGATTATGCAGTAGCCTACTAAGGGGTGCAACCAAGGATGATATAGCCAATCAAATAAGGACGTTTATTAAGCTAAATTTTCTCAGAAAATAAAATTGGATTTGTTTTCTCTGAGTGCTGTCACTGTGTTATGGCCAATGAAAATCATTATGCTCTCCATCAAACTCCACCTTATTTTCTCAGCCCGGCAGTCACGGCTTAGCTACTGTTGCTATCCATCATTGCCTTAAGCCTTCGGTTCATTATCAGTGCCTGTCATTAGCGTAACTAGCACAAGGACATGGAGGCCCTCTATAGCTACTGAAGGGTTTTCTGAGATTCAGTGTGGAAACAGCAAACACAGTGAGCAGTGACTGCATCTCGGCTGGCCTCAGAACAGCTGTGGCTTGGCAACAGACTTAAAGGAGAATTCCACCAATTTTTCAAAATCAGTGCTTTGATGTGAAATGATTCATTGTAGAGAAACTTACAGACTCAGATTTCTTTACAGTGCTGGTAACAGAAAGCAGGGTCATCATGTCTATAGCACAGATGTAAACATTTTATTTACTATGCAAAACCACCATTGAACCTACAGGCAACTTCTGAATTTTTGATGCATTCTTGATGGTAAAATAGTGGAAAATCTGAAAAAAAGGTTTCCTTTGGGGACTATTTAGTCTCACACTGCCCTGCATGTATCCCTCTGCTGTGAATGGATTAAAATAAACCGATTAACAAGACACTTTAGGATGAAACTTTACCACCAAAATATCGGACAACAATGTCTCAGGGATCCGGCTGTGTATTCATAAAAATTTGATGTAATAACTTTCTGGTAACTGGTTCCTGTCACCACCATTGTGAACAATTCTGCGCTAGAATGGAGCATTTCACACTAACATCTTAACCATTTAATTATGTAAATAAACTATATTTCCAAAAGTATTCACTCACTCATCCAAATCATTGAATTCAGGTGTTCCAATCACTTCCATGGCCACAGTCATATAAAACCAAGCACCTAGGCTTGCAGACCTCTTCTACAAACATTTGTGAAAGAATGGGTCGCTCTCAGGAGCTCAGTGAATTCCAGCGTGGTACCGTGATAGGATGCCACCTGTGCAGTCCAGTTGTGAAATTTCCTCGCTACTAAATATTCCACAGTCAACTGTCAGTGGTATTATAACAAAGTGGAAGTGATTGGGAACGACAACAACTCAGCCACAAAGTGGTCGGCCACATAAAATGACAGAGTGGGGTCAGCGGATGCTGAGGCGCCAACTTTCTGCAGAATCAATCGCTACAGACCTCCAAACTTCATGTGACCTTCAGATTAGCTCAGGAACAGCATAGAGAGCTTCATGGAATGGGTTTCCATGGCTGAGCAGCTGCATCCAAGCCTTACATCACCCAGCGCAATGCAAAGCGTCGAATGCAGTGGTGTAAAGCGCCGCCACTGGACTCTAGAGCAGTGGAGACGTGTTCTCTGAAGTGACGAATCACACTTCTCCATCTGGCAATCCGATGGATGAGTCTGGGTTTGGTGGTTGCCAGGAGAACAGTACTTGTCTGACTGCATTGTGCCAAGTGTAAAGTGTGGTGGAGGGGGGATTATGGTGTGGGGTTGTTTTTCAGGAGTTGGGCTCGGTCCCTTAGTTCCAGTGAAAGGGACTCTTAATGCTTCAGCAGACCAAGAGATTTTGGACAATTTCATGCTCCCAACTTTGTGGGAACAGTTTGGGGACGGCCCCTTCCTGGTCCAACATGACTGTGCACCAGTGCACAAAGCAAGGTCCATAAAGACATGGATGAGCTAGTTTGGTGTGTAAGAACTTGACTGGCCTGCACAGAGTCCTGACCTCAACCTGATAGAACACCTTTGGGATGAATTAGAGAGGAGACTGCGAGCCAGGCCTTCTCGTCCAACATCAGTGTCTGACCTCACAAATGCGCTTCTGGAAGAATGGTCAAAATTCCCATAAACACACTCCTAAACCTTGTGGAAAGCCTTCCCAGAAGAGTTGAAGCTGTTACAGCTGCAAAGGGTGGCCTGACATCTGATTAAACCCTATGGATTAAGAATGGGATGTCACTCAAGTTCATATGCGTGTGAAGGCAGACGATCGAATACTTTTGGCAATATAACGTATATAAATAAAAAAATTGAGTTATTCTTTCACTGTGTTTACCTCTGTATGAGATGTTAGTGTTACCTAGTGAGTGAGATGTACAGGTACGCAGTACATGTACTTAGCTTTAGTCTAGTTCCAGTAGCTGTTCTGTGTAGACTACAAACTAGATAATCAGCTGTTGGTGATATGCTAATTTTCTTCTTTTTGTGAAATCACATTTCTTGAAAACATCTCTGTCAGATCCTGCCAGAGTTCACTACAGCACTGCTGATGGAGATGGAGTGGTCAGTGTGGAGTAGGGCAGATCTGCAACACTTCCGTTGTCCCACCTTGCTTGCACGTGAGGGTAGATATCCTCGGACAAGGTTGTGAGTTGCAATAAAAAGTTCTGTCACATCTGTGAATTCAACATTTGGCAGCTGAAACATCTTGAGATCAGAAATGATTGTTCCATATATTCACAGGTTCTTGAGTGAAAATGTTTATGAATTTCTCCACAGATGCTGTTCAAAAATGTACAGACCAAAAATGTGTCATGACTCTTTTACTGCTTGTTTTTATTGTATTTTTGTATTATTGTATGTTTAGAGTTAGTTGTTTTACAGATATACAGCTTTACATTGTGTGACTAATATGCATAGTTTACTTAGGAAATAATTAGAAAAATAAAACTAAAAAAAAAAAATAATAATTTAACAAATCCATACGATGTGTCATGACCAAGAGCTGTCCCTTCTGCCCAGGGTCTAGGTATGTAAGAGTATCTCTAATATGTTCTATACTATAGCCTTGATAACTAACTGTAGTCTATCTTCTTTAAAAAGAATAAAACAATATCAACAAAAAGTAAAAAAGAATAAAAAGAATAAAGAAGACTTCAGCCGCTGAGTTCTTGTGGAAGGAAGGAAAAGGCCTTCTCTTTATTTAGCTTTAACCACAATGCAAAAATCATCACAAAGCACCCTTGTTATATCCTGT